CCCGCCCCTCCCCCCGGGGAGATGTGGGGGCGGGGCAGCAGGGGGCGGGGATGCCCCCGACACACGGATTAACCCCATGGAGTCCGGAGAAAACCGAGGCGCTCGGGCTGCTAAACCCCCCTGGTAGAGAGCCCAGGCACCCAGGCTCCTAAACCCCCCAGGTAGAGAAAACCCAGACACCCAGGCTCCTAAACCCCCCAGGTAGAGAAAACCCAGACACCCAGGCTCCTAAACCCCCCAGGTAGAGAAAACCCAGACACCCAGGCTCCTAAACCCCCCAGGTAGAGAAAACCCAGACACCCAGGCTCCTAAACCCCCCAGGTAGAGAAAACCCAGACACCCAGGCTCCTAAACCCCCCAGGTAGAGAAAACCCAGACACCCAGGCTCCTAAACCCCCCAGGTAGAGAAAACCCAGACACCCAGGCTCCTAAACCCCCCAGGTAGAGAAAACCCAGACACCCAGGCTCCTAAACCCCCCAGGTAGAGAAAACCCAGACACCCAGGCTCCTAAACCCCCCAGGTAGAGAAAACCCAGACACCCAGGCTCCTAAACCCCCCAGGTAGAGAAAACCCAGACACCCAGGCTCCTAAACCCCCCAGGTAGAGAAAACCCAGACACCCAGGCTCCTAAACCCCCCAGGTAGAGAAAACCCAGACACCCAGGCTCCTAAACCCCCCAGGTAGAGAAAACCCAGACACCCAGGCTCCTAAACCCCCCAGGTAGAGAAAACCCAGACACCCAGGCTCCTAAACCCCCCAGGTAGAGAAAACCCAGACACCCAGGCTCCTAAACCCCCCAGGTAGAGAAAACCCAGACACCCAGGCTCCTAAACCCCCCAGGTAGAGAAAACCCAGACACCCAGGCTCCTAAACCCCCCAGGTAGAGAAAACCCAGACACCCAGGCTCCTAAACCCCCCAGGTAGAGAAAACCCAGACACCCAGGCTCCTAAACCCCCCAGGTAGAGAAAACCCAGACACCCAGGCTCCTAAACCCCCCAGGTAGAGAAAACCCAGACACCCAGGCTCCTAAACCCCCCAGGTAGAGAAAACCCAGACACCCAGGCTCCTAAACCCCCCAGGTAGAGAAAACCCAGACACCCAGGCTCCTAAACCCCCCAGGTAGAGAAAACCCAGACACCCAGGCTCCTAAACCCCCCAGGTAGAGAAAACCCAGACACCCAGGCTCCTAAACCCCCCAGGTAGAGAAAACCCAGACACCCAGGCTCCTAAACCCCCCAGGTAGAGAAAACCCAGACACCCAGGCTCCTAAACCCCCCAGGTAGAGAAAACCCAGACACCCAGGCTCCTAAACCCCCCAGGTAGAGAAAACCCAGACACCCAGGCTCCTAAACCCCCCAGGTAGAGAAAACCCAGACACCCAGGCTCCTAAACCCCCCAGGTAGAGAAAACCCAGACACCCAGGCTCCTAAACCCCCCAGGTAGAGAAAACCCAGACACCCAGGCTCCTAAACCCCCCAGGTAGAGAAAACCCAGACACCCAGGCTCCTAAACCCCCCAGGTAGAGAAAACCCAGACACCCAGGCTCCTAAACCCCCCAGGTAGAGAAAACAGCCGGACCCCCCCAGGCCTGTCTGGACTCCTGCCCAGACCCACAGGCGACCCCAGCCAGCCCCCAGCCCCTATTTCTACGCCAGGCCCAACCCAGACCCCCTCCCAGACTGGGTTAACGATTAATGGGGCATCTGGCAGGGGGCAGGGGTCTGTCCCTGGCCCTTCCTCCACTGCCAGGCCCTGGGGAGTCCCCCCTGGACCCCAGGGGCCCCTATGGGTCGTTCACAGGGCTTCATGATAGGGAGAACCCAGGCATCCATCTGTCCGTCCAACCCCCAAGGCTGCGGGCCTGGTGTGTTAGAGCTGGGGGGGTGGGGGGGCTGTGGGGTCCCAGACGTCCGGGTTCTGAGGTGGGCATCCCTGGGTCTGGGCAGGGCTGGGGGGCCTGGGAGCAACACCCCCTCCCCCCACCCCATCTATCCCAGATTAGCTGGGCCATCCCAGAGCCAGGCAGCCACGAGGGCCTGGCGGGGGCAGAGTCCAGAGCACGGCCCCTACCCCTGCCAGGACGCCTGGGTTCCCTCCCAGCTCTGGGACGGGAGGGGGGCTGCAGGGGAGTCTGGACGCCTGGGTTCCCTCCCGGCTCTGGGACGGGAGGGGGGCTGCAGGGGACCCCCCCCCCATGCCTGGATTCTCTCCCATGCTGGTGACTAGAGCTGGGGGGTGGGCCTGGATCTGACCCATGTGTCTCAGGGGCCCCCAAGGTGCAGTGCTGGACGCTGCCCAGGGTCGTGGCCGCGGTGGCTGGTGGGTTCCTGCTCTTGGCCGGCATTGGTGCCAGCATCTGGGCCATTGGTAAGACCCGCCCCCTTTTCCCCCTCCCCCAGTTGCCCCCCTCCCAGGCTCTTACCCCCCCACTTCTCTCCTGCAGTGACGTGGGTGCTGACAGGTGACAGCGAGGCACTGTACGGAGGTGAGTCCCAGGCTGTGCCCCCCTCCACATGGCCAGGGATTGGGCCCTTTGTATAGTTGGGGAAGGGGATGACCTGGGGGAGAACCCAGGCATCCGAGCTGTTCCCACCCTCTTCCCGGAGCTGTGTCTGGGCCGGGACAGCTCCCGGGGGTGTTGCAGAGCAGCTGGGGGTCCTGGAGACCTGGGTCCTGACTCACGGTTGCCCCCCACCCCCCAGTCCAGGTGAGCCCAACTGACCTGCGGCTCACCGTGTTCGACGAGGCCGAGGGCAAGTGGCGCCTGGTCTGCTCCTCTCCTGCCAACGCACTGGTGGCTGCACTGAGCTGCGAGGAGATGGGCTTTGTCCGGTACCTGGCATGGGGGGCGGGGGGGGCTGCGGTTCAGGAGTGAGGGGCATTGGTGAGGCAGGGGGCTGCTGGTTGGAAGTGAGGGGCACTGGAGAGTTGGAGGGCTGTGGGGGCAGGGGTGGCAAGGAGGCCCTGGGGGTAACCCCCACCGCCCTTCCCCCAGGTCTCTATGGCACTCGGAGCTGGATGTGGAGCGTGCTGGGGCCAACGGGACGTCTGGGTTCTTCTGCGTGGATGAGGCCCGGCTGGCCTTGGCCAGTGGACTGGCTGAGGTTGTCACTGCCTGGTGAGGGGGGGAGCTGGGGGTGCCCTGTGGGGCAGGGGGCTGTGGGTTAGGA